TGAGGTCTAGAGTGGTCGCGGCTGTCATCTCGGTGCTTTAGGCAGGTATGGGAGGTTGCGATGTCTGGAAGAGTTCCTGTACCTTCTCCGTCCACCTGCCGATGTAACTCACCACCTGTTGTCCTTGAAGCAGTTTCTGTTGCTTCTACTCCTGTTCCTACTTTAACAGGTTCACATCAACAAGGGCTTATATGCAGAGCTCGTGGCGCTGACGCCGAAGTTCCTCGGTCTCGGCCGTAGGCAACTCCCTACAAAGCTCAATTGTGAAGACTGAGAGCGATGAATCGTTATCTAGTGGCTCGGACTTGAAGCTGCTTGCCGTGGAAGCCTGGGCCTTTTTCTTGACCTTCTTCCTCGATGGGGTGAAACCATAACACTGCATGGTGAAATCTGCCGAGCTAGGCGGAGTGTTGCAAAGACACGTTTGCTCAGCTTGGAAGTCTAACTTGCTCTTCACTCCACATGCCCTCTTCCATAATGAGATTGTTGCTTGCTCCCCAGTGGCACGCACCCTTCACACCTCGTTTCAGATGCGTACTGGTTACCGTTGTCACAGATTTTCCGGCAACCGCATTAATTAACTGGTGTCTCATCATCTGGGGGACTGCGCAATAAGCGGTATGGGTATACATGGGGTTATAGGGGAAGGTGAACGGGAGTTGAAAAGGATTTCAGATTTCAGTTTTTTTTATTGGTACGAATACAAGAATGTGACGTGTTTAGTATACAAAAGGAGGTCCCAAGGACCACCTTGGAACCTGTCCTGCACTATAAACAATTACAATATAAGTGGTCTACACTGTACGATGTAAAAAAATTAAAAGTGGATAAAAAACAGTTTATATTTCTTTACATTTACAACAAAATTACTATGCTACAGTTCAAAGATTACAAATTATGTTCCCTATACCTTCCTTGGCTTCACTTTCTGGTGGTTTGATTAGTTGTGTTCAACAAAAAAATCAAGGCTTTGACGAATTCTTTTTGTTTGTTCAGAGACGAACTGAAGTGAGAGAAGCAGAATGAAACCACTTGGGGCTGCACTCTTAATCATACCAGCATTATGAGAGCGAGCGCTCTAGTCACGAGCACTGTTCACATTCACTTATGCACAAAAAGATTTAAGCTTCTTAATTATAGCAAGCAAATCTTTACAAAAATTTAGTAGATAAAACTATGATTCTTACTTTATATAGCTAGCTGTGACTTTTTTTCTACACCATGCTTTGCCCATAAAGACAGAATTTAAATGCCAATACATTTATGGAACGCTTCTTTTTCTTACATAAAAATTATTATGAGAACACATTTTTATAAGGGATATGCACCGAGCTTTATCTGCAAGGCAGCAACACCATCGCAGCGTCAATTTGAAGGTCAGTTCGCACGCGCTGTCTGTTCTGGAGGTCTCTACTAATCCAGGTTGCCATACGAACCCCAGACAGTGTGTGCAATGAGTTTACTGCACGTGCATGCCCACTATAAATCCAATAAATCACTATAATTTTTAACAAAAAAAAGAGAGCATGAAGTTTTCTGATGGTGCACTTGGTGTGAAAAGAGCTACACTATTGATGATCACTTGCCTTGCTCCATTCAAAAAAACAAATCCGATCTACTTTGTGAAGTTCTAAATTTGGCATGTTATGATAATGCAACACACTTTAGTGAGACCCTTTGGCCTATCTTTCGTTAGTAAGATAAAAATCATCATTACTTTCTTATCAAGCATGCTACGTCATGCCAATGACATTCACACCATTCATGACCTGGAAGTATTGGGAATACAGCATAAAACAAAGAAAAGGCACCTTTGGTTGAGACAGCACAGGGACGCCCTATCAGACTAGGGTGAGGGAGTGATATAGATCTACTTCATGTTTGTAAACAGCGGTAGGCGCCGTCGCGGCACATTGACTCTGCCCAGCCGTCCCAGCTCAAAGCTCGCTACTGCCTTCTATGATTACATGACAATTGGCGTAACAGGTGCAAAAGCTGCCTCCAAGAACCGTGTGCATGCTTAAGCAGCGGCCACAACAAAGGAGGTGGCGGTGCTTGTAAAAGAGCTCTGAAATGAACATACGAGTCATGCCAACATGTACCTTTAGCTATGAGAACTTCATAAAAGCATGAGGTATCTTAATGGCGGGAGTGACTAATTTGCGAAATATCATTGCCGTGGCGGCAGCCTAGGTCACACATGTACACACTGATTTGTTAATGCAACAACAGCCGATCCAGTTCAGCAAGTCTTTTCAGTATATGAAAGTGCGCAGTGTAAAAATACAGTTACGAATCGTTACAGTAAATCCTGACATACAGTAAAAGCTCGTTAATTCGGATTTCACGGGACCGGAAAAACTGTCCGAAATAACCGAATGCCGAATTAACGAATGAACAGGGAAAACAACATTTAAAATCAAGCTGCAGAAGCATACCTTTATTTGTTGAAGTGTTTTGTAATTGTCGTCTGCGTTTTCGCGCAGATTCCGGCTGACATCGCAATTTTTCATAACTGTTCCAAATGGCCAACAGCACGCAAGCTGTCGGGAGTGTTCAGGCAAGCGTCCTCTAATATTAACAGCGCCTCCGAGATTTCCCGTGAGGTGCGATGAGGTCGCGGCTGTATCTCCTCGCATGATTCTTCGTCGGAATCGTGGTCTTCAAGGGCGCCCGTGACATCATTAATAATCTCTTGATCGGTCAGGAGACCACTCGTGGCGACACCATGATCAATCGCGATGTAGTCCTGAAAGGTCACATCTGTGGGAAGGACAGCATCGAAAGTCGGGCAGTCATCGTTGGTGGACTCTGCCGCTTTTTCGGCGTTGCCATCACTGTAGCGCACGATGGTGGTGGCATGCAAATACGGTCACAATGGAAGAAAAAGAGAACTCCGCAAGAAGAGATGGTTCGACACGACAACACAAGGGAAAATGGCGTCGGAGGCGCTGAGTGGAGAAGAAAGAAGACGCCGACGTTCGATGACGCTGCGTTCGCCCTCACTAGTTGATGATGATGGCGATGCCACTCAGGTTTTGGTTTCACTCCAGTGGTGCCAGCGCTGCTTTATCACACTTTTGTGTAGCAGCAGCCGTCAGCATTTGTCCGAATTAAGCGGTGCGGAGCTGAATTACGACGAAATAACGAAGGTTTGGTCCCATAGAATAACATGCACTTTGGCCGGGACCAATAGAGCCGTCCGAATCATCCGAATTTCTGAATTAATGGGTGTCGAATTAACGAGTTCTTACTGTTTAACGAATGTGCCAAAGAAGTCATTCATGCAAACGACAAGGGCGATCTTGGTGACACTTCCATCCGTGATAAGCCCACAATAATGCTTTAAGTACATGCTATGAACAATGCGGTTATGTAACTGTCAAGTCTGCAGCTTCCTTCGTAGGCTCAAAAAGAGAGCACGAAACGCATACAACTCTTAAACAGACTCTGCAAGTATCCCGAATGCCGATTTTCTGAGAGTTCCGATTGACGTAAAAATCTCAAGAAGCGTACTGCAGCTAGAACAGCCCTGCCTGATACACTAGTGCCAGGTGTGTCATCACAGCCACATACAATCAGGCAAAGCTTAGTCGAAAACATCCTTTCGTGTGCTGCTGCTTTAATGACCCATGCTCACGCGGAAACACATGCCATGACCGATTTCACTTGAGTATAACGAAATCTTTTTTGTCTAAAATTACTGCAACCGTGAAGAATTTTCCCCATATGACAATGCTATTTAAAACGTTAACATGCCTTGAACTAAACGTGTTCGCTGTGCCTTCACCCCAAGGCTTATTAGAAATAAATAAATAAATAAAATGTCCTGCAGCAAATCACGATTAGAAGCACTTAAAAAAAACTAATCAATCAATTTTGCTGGATAAGCCGCTCGAAAACATGAAGGATGCACCAGCATCAGAGACAAGTTCTCCCATTTTACAGCTGTGACTAAACCCTTGTGATGGTCATCGTAAACAGCAAATCAGAAGGGGGGAGGGGGGACCTTTTTCTTGTTTCCGTGCAAATAACTGTGACAGCTTGTCGGTGCATCCTTTTTCTTTGCACAACGACAAACAGCGCACGCACAAGAGAAAACATAGCAGCAACCACAGTAGGCACAGCAGCTTTTGCCTACCATGCAAAACTAAACAGCAGCTTTTGCCTACCACGCAAAACTTACTAAACACCCGACGAGAGTGCCACCGCATTGTTGAGACGTATGTCTGGTGAAATTCACCTATACTTTGTCCCCCTTTCCAGTGGCAACAGTTATATTGGCCAGACAGGCCATTGTCGCAACCAATGGTTTAATGATGATCCCATATTATTTTTGAAAGGACAATCTTCAACTAAACTGTTTTTTCATTGTCCTGAATGTAATTTGCAACCCAGATTTCTGAAGAACCAGAATAATTGCGTACCAGAAAAAAAAGTGCCACTTGTGAGCTTCATCAAGGTCATTTTATTTTAAAACCTGGAGATAGTTGCGTCCTCCGTGGCATTGCACTAATCGGAATGGTTATCTTGATGTGCAAGTTCGCCCCACCGCCGGTTTAGCCGCCGCAGGTCGCAGGTTTGAATGCCGGCTGCGGTGGCTGCATTTCCGATGGAGGCGGAAATGTGATAGGCCCGTGTGCTCAGATTAGGGCGCACGTTAAAGAACCCCATGTGGTTGAAATTTCCGGAGCCCTCCACTACGGCGTCTCTCATAATCATATGGTTGTTTTGGGATGTTAAACCCCACATATTAATCAATCATTGATGTGTAAGTGTAGGAGCTTTTTGGTTTTTGAGCCCACAAGAGTGATTTATCAATTTTTTTTTTCTTCCTCCATGTTCTTCACATTTTCAATAAAAACAAAATTTAGTTACTATGCACTTGTGCTGTTTTTATCACTCTTTGTCCGTGTTTTTACGCATTTTCCTTGAAAATCTTATAAGATTGAAGCACATGCAAAAGCACTTTTTTACCATAATCAATTCAGTGAACTTACCTTTCGTTTGCTAAGGATATGTCGTAACCGGTCTCGCATTTCTTGGTAATTCTTGCTAACAGGAGCCATAGGAGGCGCCCCATGGCCAAACACTTCACAATAACAACAGTCACAGACACGACTGTCGCCGGCACTGCGTTTGTTGGAGGCTGTTGTCGAGGAGCTCTGCACTGAACACGTATCATCCATTGAGTCCTCACCATCTAACAAGGCATTATCACAGTCAGAGTTCCCGCAAGTTCCTATAAAAAGAGAGAGAAAAAGAAAAGACCCAAAAATTAGAATTACAAAAACACAAAATTTAATTGTTAAGAGAATCAAAGGTATAGTAGTGGCTATATGCTGTGAAACGTTTTCAAAGTGAGTTGCGAATACCCACACTATAAGTGCTACAGCACTAAAACCACCTTTTTCAAGGGCCGCAGTTGCACAAAACGTGTTGAGCATGCAGCCTTGCGTGTCCGAGAATAGAAGCACGTGATGTGTGGTGCTTACAACCATATAGATTTCCAAATATTAAACAAAAAAATTAGCGCACAAAGACTCGCGTTGCCAACAAGATTAACACAAAAGGAGGAGGGGGGGAGGGGGGGGGGGGCTCGAACAGAAGTGAGCACCATCGAGGAAATTCATGATGGTGCTAACACTACTTCTCAGACCGCCTCGATTATGCGCATTACACTGAACCTACGTCACGCCACGTCGGAAATTTCGCGTGCTGAAAGCCACCGACATCACAATCGAATCGCGAACCACCATTCGAGTGCTACCGATCCCATCCTCATTTTTATTAACAATATGTATCACGGGAAGTTTGTTCACATGAAGACCGGGGTTCAAAAAGATGGTACCCAACTACTCAACTAAGAACAGCATGCGTGATACGAAGTTTAGATTAGGGGCCGGGAGACAAAGGACGACAAAAAGGCCGTGGACTAGCAGCAAAGGCGAAAGCTCACGATATGAAGCCATGAACTTTTAGAATTACGGACGAGGTAGCAAACACAATATCTGTAGCGAACCCGATAACGATGACGCTTTTACCAACAGTAAACTCTAAGCTCTGTTGATGAGGATGGGATCGCACCTGCCATGTTGGGCCGCGCGCGGCCGGAGTAGTCGACGCACCAACGTCGTTTCTCCATCGGGATCGTTTGCGTGCCTTTCGTTACTCCACGAAAGAAGGAATGAGAGAAGACGGCATGCCCAGCCGGCGCGCTTCGTAAAATGTGTGGGGGAAATGACGTTATGGCGGCCATATTCAGTGCAGACAATGGCGGCATTTCTATGGTTACGTTTTGTGCAGTGTACACAGAGTTGTTTCCTTCCTCCATGGCATTGTAGCTGGCCTCTGAGCAGCATTGGCTGGCGGCGACATGTGCGTCTCTGTATATCTCATACGGAGCCGTGCCGGACAATATTTGTGCTCAGTGCCGCGTTGTTGCACAGTGTTCTCGCGACAGTTATTGTACACCTAACAACGTGTACAAAATTTTTTGTTAGCCATGGAGCCTCAACAGTGCGTAGAACAAGTGCATATTCATGTGCCGTGCGGGGGATGACGCGGATAAAGTATTTGAAGTGTTCTGCGAAATTGCACTTGGGCACCACGACAAAACGGAACCTCGATGAACGCCTTGCAGGCCAGTGACGGTTGTGCTGTGTTTGTGCTTGTGACAACGAATGAAAGTTTTGGCCAGCAAGACACAATGAGGACCATGTGCACATACGTAGTTTCGTGCTCGACATGTGTACAGAAACAACTTGCATGTGCGTATTAAAACACCTTTCCTGTTTCGCTTGGCATGCCTGCCCCCAGCATTGCTCTCTCGGCATTAGAACAAACATGTTCAAGTGTCACTTGCACCGTGCTCAAAGTTACTCTGGTTGCACAATACTGACGCCAGTGAGTTTTACGTGGGAGACGAGCACAGTGACCGGGCGCCGTGTTGGCCGCGTGAGAGACGGAATGCAACCGTAGAAGGTGGTGCACGGATGGTCGTGTTGTCTGTACAGTGCGTGAATCAATAACGTGAAAACACTGGCACCAAACTCGCCGTTGTCAGTGGATTCAGCGTGCATTCTCTTTTGCTTGCTTCGTTGTCGGCGAACTGTCACTCGCTATTAATACTCGGACGAAATTATTTAGCCAATAGTGTCGCAGTGGCCCAGTGTATTAAGCCCCGTTTTGATGGTTTCGGTTCGCCACAACACGCATTCTCTGCAGTGCACGTGTTTTCGAGCAAAGAGAGAGTCGCGCCATCTGCTTCACATTTGGGTGTAAACAAGAGAGGAGGATTTGCCTAGTCAATATGGCCGACTCTTCCGGCTTCACCATGGCTTCACAACAAGCGACGTCAGGGCTATTTCCTTCCTCCATGGGTTATTCTCTGGAGGTCACGTGGCTACAGACGTCTGCCGCTATGAGCCCTGTGGCGCTACAACTTACCTCATCTGCACTGGCTGGTGGAGGCCGCAAGATGCGCCTCCATGTTCTTTTTTTGTCGTCTGCTCGAGTCATTCAGAAAAGAAACCCGTTTGCAAGCAGGTATAAGCACTGATGATGATGATTGTTAGAGTTTTATGTCCCAAAACCAGACATTATTACAAGGGACTTCGTAGGATTCTAAAAATTTTCACCATGAGTTGTTCGCCTAAATCCAAGAGGTACGTGCGCTCACCGCTCTTGCCCCTCGTACGACGAGGAGGCACACTCAGCCAGGAAGAGAAACTACCCTATGAACGGCGCATAGCAAACCAATTGAAGAACGAAACAAGTGATAACCTATCATCAAATGCGGAAACGAGGTCGAACCTCTCTTTTATCATCAAACGCGTGTAACTGCGCCATGAAGTCACCGTTTCGTATCATTTTCACGGTCATGAGTTAGTTCCGCAGTCCTCCCCCTTTCTTGCCCAGACAGTAACTGCAACCCAGCTCAGTGTACGCTAACCTCAACAGGTCTACCACTGTATACACATATACCTGGTATTGAATAAACATTTGGCGGTCAGCACTGTTTACAACCTGCCTCAGTCATCGTCCTTTCTAGTTTTGCACGCTGATAGAAGTGTTCGTATCTGATTTGCGGTTCTATTTGAAAAATAATGTACTGAAATGTCAACTAAAAATACAAAAGAAGGTTCTCAAAGTCACATTAAATAAAAATGATTCAAGATACGCGCCACATTTAAACACAATGCATGATGAAACTCTTATTGAACCGGCGACAACCCATGCTTTTTCATGCATTCACCGGCGCCCAGCTGGAGTAACTCGAGCGCCCCCTTAGCGGCGAAGTTCGGAACCAGAGAATCACAGCAATAAATGAATGGTGAAATCAGCTACCTCTTCGTGTCATCTCACGCCGGAGATAAAACATCAGATACGTGTCGTCTTTCTTAAGGAGATTAGCTGTTTATTTAGCCATGCCTCCTAGGCCTTGTCTCCGAGAATATGAGAATGAATCTAGAAACACTGCAAAATACCGACAAATACATTGCTCTCGAAGTTCAGGATGAAAATATAAAGTAAATAAACATGTGCATTGCAACCTTACGTGCCACCCAGCGTAGGACGACGATGTGAGAAGATAGAGGCGAAAAGAAACTGCATTCACAGTTGGCGCCATGTTGACTTTCCCTACCGTGACCTTTTGCGGCACTGCTCAACAACCACTTCTCGTCGTCTGCTCGGCATCCCCACAGCGGCCGCTTCGCTTTACTCGCGTGCACACAGACGACGCGAAGCGGTTGTTGAGCAGTGACGCAGAAGGCCGCGGCAGAAAAACGGCCATGGTAAGGAGACGTGCACGATGGAGTGGCGCCATCTAGATTTGATTGCGCAAACCAGCAGCAGAAAATCGTCTCTAAAATTCATTTGAAAAGAATCTGAGAAACTCTCAAGCTGGCAATTCAGTATGAATAGCGCAAACGTGCAAATGAACGTACCCAGTGAATTTCATTGAGATCTACTGACCTCGAAAAATCGCCAGTCACACCGAAAGCGGGGCCCAAAGCAGTGAGGCGACAATGCAGAAAGCAGAAAAAAATGTGCAGCCGTCGTACCATCCTCTACTAACGCGGTGTGTTCTGCCAAAAAGTTTGCACCTTATCAACTGTCCACATGTTCGGTTTGCCATTGATCAGTGTTAGTTGGGTGGTGTACATTAAGTGAACAGAAATAAGGCCGCCACCTTGTCCGCACCTCGTAATTCGTTTCGGGTGTCGCACTGTGTCTGCGCCGTTGAACTCGCGCGACACAATTTCTGAACTTCCCATGCACAGCTGTGAACCGGTTTCGATTGGTGCAGGAGAACCGAACAGACCCTGAGCACCATTCCATCATGGTGGCACCCCTGTGGTTTAAATGAACCCGGGCAGTTTTAAAGTGGGAAGGGCACAAAAAGAACATGGCACCAAACAACCCTCTGGTGTCCTCCCCTGAATGACACTGAAAGTCCAGGTGACCGCTATTGTGACGTATCCAGAGCAGAAAGCCTGTTTGTAACGTCACGTGAAAACTAAGCTACAGAGCCACATAATAACAGACATTTAACGGCATTTTTGTTTGTAAAGCACATTATATCTTCAATTACTTCTCGCAGTAATGAGGAAAAAAAATTCAGTTATTGGTGGTAAGGACACTGACCAATTTTTTGTTGCGAACACATAGACTGCAAGAAGTCTCTCTCGCTTCCACAGCCTTGACATGTGTGAAACTGAGTATAGAGTGGTATATTAACTTTATGCTCGTAGCATGCAGTGGTCTTTTAACACGAAAGTGATTTATGCCGGGGTCTACCACGGCTCCACTGACGTACTTCTGTCACGGAAGTGACGTTGAAAAATATATACCAAGAGATTGCAAAGAAATAAACCGGAAGGCAAGAATATGTCGCGTGGAATCGAACCCGAAACCTGACTCTCAGCGCGTGGCTCTAACCACTACGCCATGGAGCGTACGTCGAGCGGGAGGCTAACGGCAAGCCATTTATATACCATACATCATTTGGCAGTTCTCAGAGCTTCGAAACTTTACCACGTTTTTGTTATCAGTGGCGAGATAACGCGACGGGCTCGCATTGGGCATGCTCTAAAGGGCGCCTATTCTAGGAAGCGCACCTCCACGGATCATGGTCTCTCCTGCCCGTGTGCTTATCAGACTTGCGATTCGGGAGAGGACGAACGTCACTTCGCACGCTGCCGTGGCCCCCCTTACAAAAGAAGCGCGGTGCTGACACACGACACAGGATGAACGGTGACAGTTGTTCGCGCTTGTCCTGTGCATACTTCTGCCCTCGTTTTGTGAGTCTTTCTTATGCTTGAACAGCGCATTTTAAGCTTTGAGCTGGACAGTTGTTAGTCCGCACTCATCCTGTGTATGATAATTTCGTATGTGCACTGCAAGTTTCGAGCTGCTTTCCATTCCTAACGCGACTTTGCAATTTGTTGCTGTTGCTGAAACAATGCACAATAAACACTCAACTACCTCTGTAAAGATACGTTTCACTTTCGTGTTGTACTGATTGCTATATGGAAGAATCAACCACGTTTTTTTTTTTTTCATTTTCATTTTCTTCCGTCCGCACTTTATTCGTTCACTTCGAGTCCCTTTTTTCTCCCTAACAACCTCGTCGCTCGCTCCCCAAAACGCACTCAGCGCACCTCCTTTCAGAAGCGCACTCACTATCGCATTTGTCACAAAATATTTTCGGGCAACCACATTATAACCGGTCTTTCATCTTAAGGCAAGGCACAGTAAGCGATATGCCTATACGAGGGTAAACAGGAGTCTAAAAAGACCACGTTGTAACCGGTCCCCCGCTAAAAGCGGTTACGTTATAAGTGGTCTGCACTTATAACTCAAAATGTCGGTTAGAAATCGCCGTGTTTTGGCCCCTCATATCGAAAACGACAACATTTTCACATAGCAGGTGAGATCGAAGAAGTGCAGGACCACTGCAGTGTATGCTGGGATGAGGGGGTGCATGCCGAAAAACATGAGGCTGGCAAGCACCATATCTGTACCAGGTTTGGTGAGATGCTGCTTTCCGGTCAGCTATCATTTGGAGCACAATATAGAGTTTGCGGGCCCTTTTGTCCAACATTCAGCTCCCATTCACTATGTTTTGTGGCCTTTTTCAGGAAAAGCAGCAATAATGTTGGACACTTATACCTCCAGACACTCTGGCATAACACTGCAGCAAGGGTGTTACAATAGCATTACACCTGTAGTTTTTCGCAACTGTGAGAAAAACAGCATGACCCAAAAAAATGCATGCAAAAAGACAATGCTAGAGGCCAAGATGCACATACCAAAATTATACCATGCATATGTATACTATGTGCACTGACCATAAATACCGTATTTACTCGCGTAATAAACGCACTTGCATAATAAACGCACCCTCAACTTCAGTCATTCAGTCATCAAAATTTGAATTTTTTTTCTGCATAATAAATGCAGCCCCAATATTCATCCGCTGCAGTCCCGCTAACTGACACATGGTGCCTCCTCACCAGTTGGATCTGTACCGTTTTTTATTATTTTGCGGACCCCTCTCGGTCACCTCAGCCTGCTTCCCCCCCCACTCTTCGCACATTGCCGTGTGCCGTATTGTTTTTCTTTTTATCTGTATGGGGCATGTTCCCCACCTGTGCGCCAGCGGGGTTCACAAAAAGTGCGTGTAGAGACATCGCAGCTGATAAGCACACAGTGACCGAAGGTCGCGAAACTTCCTGCGTGAACTGGTGGTCGCTTCCTGTGAACACGAAAAAGCCCAACCAGGTGCACACATTTTTGTGCGACGACGACAGGATTTGCTGTCGCGAGGGGTCATTCGTCGCTATCGTTTCGCAGGTTTCTGGAGAAGCAGAAAAAATCGCTTGTCATCCAGAAAAGATTGTGACGATTTCCGAAACATGGTAGCCCCCCCCCTCGATTCTCGCTTCGCTTGTTATCCGCGCGTAGAGGAACTTCCCATGTGAAAGCAAGGCAGCGGCTCTATTTTGTCGTTAATCTTGTTATCGACAGTTTGTTTCAGTGCTTCGAGGGTAGCCTACTGCAATGTTGGTTACTTGCTACAATGTCAACGGCGTCGTCAGGGTCGTCATGCGAGGTTATCGTGAAGTTGGCAAAGTGCGTCGTAGCGCACACTTTGGGCGCCCCTCGAGATCACAGCAGACACCACTGTTGCGGTTGAACGATTGCAAGAAAAGATAGCCGCAAAACGCTTCTATAGCTTGCGCGAGCGGCCCGGGGTCAGCTTGCAGGCGATAGCGCCATCAACCACCGAAAATGAGTGACGTGCGACAAAGAAGCTGTTTTCAAACAGTGTACGCGTATGTCAATAGCGAAAAGCTAAGTGAGGTAACTTTTTATTTTTTTTTGCATTACTGCATTTTTTGCTCCTCCCAAAAAAGTTTTCATAAAATTTACCCCACGTAATAAATGCACTTCTTAACTTTGCTGCCATTTTTCGAGAAAAAAAGTGCATTCATTACGTGAAAAAATATGGTAATGCTGTTCATTATGTTACTAAAACTCGTTATCAGAGTGCTTCATGATTTATTACAACCTAAAAAATTTATATACAAATTTTATTCCACTGAAAGCAAACATAATTTTTGGGCTTTCTGGAGGTGTAGGCGGGCATTGTGCCCTTTTAATGTGGCAGTCATCAGCCTATCTCATTTTTATTTCCTCCGTGTATTTGTGTTTTTTTTTAACCAAAATCAATAATAATATCTGATGTTTAGGAATACTTGAAATAAATTAAATATGTTACTCATTGAAATTGCAAACCTTCAACAAAAGTGTTCTAAGACATTCTCGAAAGAATGATAATTGATACTAATCATTATAGCCAGTGCACCCAAAACAAAAAAACGGGGGGGTTAGGTGGAGCATAGAGCAGAGCAGTTATCAGTCCCACAATGGTGAGGCAGTCGGTGCACCTTCCTTGCTTCTCCTGGCTGCAGATCTTGTTGGCTCTTCTCATTCAACAAATGGCCCTTGCTTTGTGCAGGCACACAGATTTTATAACAAAGGTGGCCAGCTTTTAAAAGCTGCAAGCCACCAGTCACCTAGTCTTTGCAACTGTCAAGGGCTATACCTGAAATATAAGATGTGCAGGCCACTTGTGCACTTAGCCATGAAAAGAACTAGCACAGCTGCCATGGCTGTAATAGCTAGCGGGCCTGCCGAACACTCACCAGAACCATTCCCACATTTGCCAGAGGCAAGGGGTAAGACGAGAGCACAAGCCTAAGTGGTATATTGGGTAAGACAGTGTACATCAAGCACCCATCCTTCCTGGCTCGACGCAGTCTTACTGAACTTGACATGGAACACTGACATTGTCATCCATTTGTGTGGGAAAGCATGTTCTGTCCTATGAATGCACAGCACACTTGGCAGCTTGCATTTTTTTTTCCTTTCTACACAGGCACCGGGTAGCCAGATGTACTTGTTATAACCAACAATGTAGCATGAGAACATTGTAAGGAGTTTATTTCACAATAAAAGACATACAAAAATTCAATGTCTGGCTGCCCAGTGTTATATCTGATACATTGCTAAAAACATACCATTATAAGTGTGTTAGACTGGGCAACTTGTTGGATAGTAAGGCATTTTCACAATTTGTGTACCTAATACATATTGCAAGGTTTATTCTATGCAAAGGACACCATAAATGTCATTTGAGCTCAGTGTAGGAATGCATGAATTTTCTCACCTGCTGCACAAAATGTCCCTAGTCATTAAAACTATCTAATTACCTTAAAACTATTGAACAGAACACTAAACCTCATATCGCACGTTACCCAGTACATATGTAGCTTCATGCATATCAGGTGGAATTCAAAAGTGGCCCTCTGCTTGCAAAACTTTATTGCCGATTCCAGTGTCATAAAATTAGCATGAATGAATAGTGATCAGCAAGCACACTATGGGCCTGAAGATTACATAGCATAAAGTCGTTTAGAAAAAACTATAAAAATGTGATTTGGTCAAGCCAATGTGGCATGCACTGGCTTTGCCAAATGTTTGACATCTTGACTGCACACATAAGACGAGAACAGAGGGAGGCCCCTTGACCGTCCGTGTCCTCATACCTTCCTGTGTGCAGTCAAGATGCCAAAGAGTACACAACAACTAGACAAGACTTGAATTTTCCTGACCAAAATGTAATGCAATTTTCAAAATATGGATTGAAAAAGTGTGGAAACGATTGGGGCAAGACGGCTTTGTTTTTTCTGATTTCGCATTACGGTTTTACCTACTAACGGAACACTAAAATGCTCTTCACAGAACCCAGTTTGAAAACTCCTGCTACAGTTATAGCTACAAGAACGTTGAAACTAGTGTTCCTGTTGTACTATTTAACTGCAGCTTTATATATATATATATATATATATATATATATATATATATATATATATATATATATATATATATATAAAGGCTCTGCAATTTATAGCCACATGTACTCACCGGGCTCAGAGTGTCGACGTGCAGGGGTTGGGGAGCTTTGACCTGAGGCAGTGCCTGGGGGTACTGGCTGAGGTGATTGCTCAGCACTAGAATGCCGTGACTTGAAATGGCTCCCCTCCCAGTCCCTGATCTGCGTTAAGTCCAGCGAGTCTATGTCAAGGTTGATTGGACGTGCCCCATACAACTGCAGCAGTGACTGCGGGTTCCATTGCATTTGTGTGCAGGCAGGACACTCGCACGTCTCTGCAACCTGCTGCGAGAAGTTATAAAAATTAATTTTATTAAGGTTGAATAAAAGTATACATGTTTATATGTATTTCTGTCTACTTAGCAAGCATTTATTACTAATCTCACGTTACAAAACTTCTATCCCCTTCACACAGTCCATCAGAACACCACGAATGTCTTAAATAAAAAAAAGAAAACACGAAATAGCTTAAACTAGTATTTTACAGCCTTTTTAGTTGAAAGAACGCGATCACTTAGTAAGGCCTTAAATCAGGCTGCGTAATGTCACATTTCCCGGGCCTTACAAAAATACCTATACTCTGTTTCACCACTTTGGTTCAGCACTACCAAGATACGAGGTCTAAGAAAGCCACACACTTGCGCAGCGAAACGTAGTCCCACATACAAGTGCCTTAAAACTGACAGGGTTGGCTAGATTTGGCATTTATTTGGTGTGTTTTATGGCACATCGATATATGATACGTTTATTGTTCTTCGCATTTATTTCTTACGCATTCAAATATTTCAGACCAAGAACGCAGCATCTCCAAATATCGGACATGCAACCTCGCAGAGCATTCTGTGCGCATCAAATTCTCTTTCGGTGGAAACAAAAAAGAGAAAAAGGAGCGCTGAGCAGGAGACGCGAAGGAACGCGTCGACAGAGAAAGAAACATACGAGAGCCACGAACAGCCACAAAGTGAAGTTATCCGCGGCAAGAGATTCTACCGATCTTCAGCCAAGCAACAAATTCATGCTTCATGTTTCCGGTGTAGTTGCTTGTTTATCAGCTTTACTGCATTTTTAAGGTAATAAACTAGCCATAAAACCTACAATTTGTTGAGCAGATGCCGTGAATATGGTGAGCAGACGACACAATGCGAATGAATACATGTGGAGGGGCTAAGCACCCTTGCTACTGGCTGAGGGGCCTGTAGGCTCCACAGTGCTGAAAGGAACTTCTGAAACAGAGTGTAGATTCAACAACAAAGACGCCGAATCCCTCAACAAGGAAAACATCCCTAGATCTAGGGATAAATCCCCAGTGTTGGCATTACTGTTCAGCGGGGAGAATTGTGCGCCTTCGACTTCGACTGGAGCGATTGCATTTAGTTTCCTGGCGCATAAAGATCACTTCGCTTGCTGGACAGGTGCCGTTTGCAAAGAGTGCACTTTTCAAACACAGCGAAGTAACAACTGGGGCACTTATTAGTTTGCACTCCCATCTGTACCTGTGATTATGTTTTGTGCCTCGTTTTTGTTTAAACAGCACATTAAGTGTCGAGCGGTAAACATTGTTAGTTCGCTCTCGTCCTGCATATGTTGTTTTTGTGTGTCATTTGTACGTGAGCAGCGCACTGCACGTTTTTATCTGCTTGCCGTTCTCAGCGTTACATTCCAAGTTGTTGCTATCACATTCATTGCTTCGCCCTTGCGACGAAACTGTGACTTCTCTTAATTTCGGACAACTGTGTTGTCACCACCGAGGGATGTTAGATTAGGCGCTGATGGAAACTCTCCAAGACCACGGTGACGATGGATCTTCAGAGGTCGACTCGTCATGCGCTTTCGTCTTGCGCCGCGCCGCGAGCTCTCAGGCTGGTAGTTTTCGCAATTAGCCGATTAGTTGTGGCAACACGACGACGCGTTGAATGCAATGCAATGAACGTATTAGCAAAAACTGTAATGTTATAAGAAGTAAGACTGGCAGCCAACTCTTTTTGGCTCCCATATCACGGAACTCGTACAAAACGCTAGTCTGAGCAAATACGGCCACTCCAGAAAGAAGTCCTCTTTTCACACAGTCCCTTCACTTTGAAACCACACTGATACTCGCCAAGATAGCAAGCGCACCAGCGATCGCAACTGCCCTCAAAATCCAAGTTCATTATTGCTACTCGAGCAATCCCCGCTCCCTCTCTGCGTTGTTTCATGCTCGTTCAAGACAAGTGGTTTTCTTTGTGTTTGAGCATTCGATGGCAGTTGGTAACACGTGGGAGATATGCACTTTAAAGGCGATAGGGGTGAGCTGACTCATTTGATCTCTGCTTCAACAGCGCTCATGCGCTTTTACTCGCTCGTGAAAGTTACGATGCACGGGAATATACTATCAATTTGGACTTGTTACGGGACATGGCGCCGACCGCAAAAACCTGCTGAGAGTGTCCATACGATTGCTATTGCAATAATAACAGTTTTTTACTGTAAAATGAGTGTTTTGGGTTAGCTCTGCCTTAAGTCCTCCTTTTGCTTAATGTGCGCGTTTATTTTCCAAATTTGCGTATCGAACCTGTATAAAATTAAATCCTCTTTAAAACGAATTTTTCCAGTAATTTATCAATTTCACTATATCCAGGTTTAACTGTACCAACAATATTTTTGTTTAAACAATACAAAAGATATTCATTAGGGGTGTGCAAATAATGATACTTTATCTCTTAATTGAATAGTGTTGAATAGCTCAATTGAAGAGTGCTGAATAGTAGCCACAAATTTCACCCATAAAATACAAAATATTTTATATAAAAAACTTAGACAGAACAATGAAATGAAATCTAGTCATGTCCTCAAGCACACAATGTAGTTATTGTCCGTAACAAAAAAGTACAAATTGTGCTAAAATGGTAATGTTGCATTTCATACCTACAGTATGTTCTAACTGGCCCCCACACAAGCTTTTCTGAATGCATTTCATCGTAATGAGTGCTCTGGACCCAAAAATCTGCAAGCCGTTTAAATGTAACCAATTCTCACATGTGAAGCCAATCATCGAAACTTTTATGTGCCAAAATTGGCATGCTTTGTGGTGTTTGGGACATATGCAACTGAACTATGCAAGGTGCCCTATCAGAAAAATATCATTAGTGCGCCTTCTCACCCATGATGGCCTCCAGTTGATGGAGAATCTGAACTGAATGAAGGACATTTGACTGCCGAAATTGTTCAGCACTGATGATAAAATCTTGTCTAGCCTTGAAAACAAAATATTTCAGACACATTTAGTAAGCTGCCGATTTCCAAGTTGCTGGGCCCGGTGCTTAAGTGACAATGTGGCAAATTGCTAGGGCTTTCTGCAGTTTAATCACCCATATCAGGCCATAAATGTGCCATGAATTAGAACCTTCATTTATAAAACAAGATAAATGTCTATGGTAATCTGAGGTCCTGTCCTGAAGCTTCTAGAACTTGCGTCACATAGCATGCTTGCGCAGGTATTAAGGAGTCTGTCCTACCATTGAAGCAGACTTGCCTTTTCAGGAAGGTTGGCCTCAGATGCCTGGCTATTTGTCCCAGGACCACACGTATCTCCCTCATGACCCCAAGCAGTTCCAGACAGTGGTGGTGATGTTGACAAGTGCAGCGTTGACTGTGGTTCTCCTGCTGCTGATATAGATGGCTGGACATCCACAAATGAGCACACCATGCCAGAGGCTGCTGCCAGGTAGCACTGCTGCTGTTCTAGCTCTGCAGTACACCCCTCTTGTGGTAGTTCACCGGCTAAAAGGCTTCTGCAACACTCTCCACTTCGTGAAAAAAAATAAGAACACCATTCAAATTCTACTTACAAGGAATAAGTTAAATAATAGAGTTTTATGTCGCAAAACCTTAGTACACTTCATAAAAAAAGCAAACTTAAAAAATCCTACATACTGCTTTTCAATTATAAATTTAACTTAATTTTAATTTAATTATAAGCAAGATGTAGGGGATGCACTGGACAAGTACTACATCCAAATAATCCTTGCAATTAATTCAATTAAGTTATGGGGAATCAGGCAAGCTCCAGTGAGAAGGCTCCATACTGATTTTTATTTTCCCAATGCACAATACACGAGCATTTTTGCATTGTGCAACTTTTTCAAACTACCTGCAAGGTGCAATTGCAATACAAATGCTTAAAAAATCATGTTCCTTACAAAGCTTAAAGGAGCCCTGACACCTATTTTGGAAGCTTGAGGTGCTTGTGTTGTTTGAGAGTCCTGCGTGCGAGGGCACTTCTCACCGATTATTAGTGACGAGCGTTGCCTATAATATATTTTAATTTGGTTTTAAAGAAAGGTGCAATCAACATTTTCTGTAGTTTGACGTAAACAAGGGGCCCCCTAGAGCTGTCGCAGAGGTCAAGCAAGTATTGTCGACCTCAGAGAACATCTGTGGAGCGGGCACAATACCCCGAGCAAGGAGTATTGTTTGTCACCCCTCTCGCTCTGTTGTCTGGCTGCTCCCAAGGTGGTTCTGACTGCATACAGCAGGAATGCTTTCCTTTTTTCTTTTTTTTTTTTCTGAAGGGGACAGGCTCAAAGCACCCACATCCTTTGATTCTTCACCACCCCCAGAGTCCCTTTATATGAAAACAGCGCATTCAGCGTCACCAAAGCTAGAGCGCACATAGTTTCATGCGCTGCCCCGCGGCGGGGCCCTAGTTTCTTACGATATCTAGGTGGGCATTTCGAAACGGCGTAAAATTGTTCCAAATTAATGATGCCAGCATCAATTATACAATGCATTAGAGTATTGCTACACATATGCAAATTGAGATTCTAGGGGGCGACGCGCATGTGTACCTGACGAGGAAGACGAAGAGTGTCTGGTCTACTCGTCAGACACCGAGCGGAGTGTCTGGTCTACTGGTCGCTCGGTGTCTGGTATACTGCATATATGTAGCAGTATTTACGATTCAATTTTGGCATCACCTGATGTAAAATTAACAAATTACAGTAAAAAAACCACAATCAAAACTTTCGCTGTTGGTGGTCCTTTAAGCTCTACATATACAGTCGAACCCCGCTACAACAAAACTGATGGGGTGAGGAAAAAAAATTTCGTAGATGTAAAATTTACATTGTAGTGAAATGGAAAAAAAATTGAGCTGCTGTAAGCTAGCAAAACAAAAACTTTCATTCTCAAAATTCAAAAAGTGTTGGCTGCTTCCTCTTCTATCGCAGCAGTGTCTTGATGCGATTCTCGCAGATGCCTACTGATGCAATGTTGAAAATCGTACAAAGGCAATGGCTTTCATAAACGAACCAAGCAGTTGCACTAACCCGTTAACATTAGCAGCTGTCCGCCAACAAAAAATATCCCACAATGCCGAAATGCAGGCGTGGTGTATCGTGGAGCGGTGACTTTTGCCTTATTTTATGCTATACTGCATCCCCTAGTCGCAAGCTAGCTGACTGTTGATAATGTGGATGAACAGTCACTCTGACTAGTGACCCCACTGGCCAAGCGCAAAAAGAACGAAATGCACTGGCTTGAGAAAAGGCATCATTCCGTGATTGCACCCAGCCGCAGCATGGACAACCAAGTGACTGAGGTCCAGCTTCAGATTGTCTGAGACTAAGAAGCAAGCCAGTGGCAAAAGCAGGGAAGTCTCATTGCCATCGCTATATAGCGACGGCGGCACCCATGCTCAGTAAACAACAGCGGTCAGTGTAGTGGCGATTTCTGGTGGTGCCAACACGCAATCTAGACTTCATCGACATATTTTTGTGCTCTAAATATGCATAAAAAATTTGAAGATTCAGATTGTGCTTACTGCATGGCACTAAATATCTGAGCCTGGAATGGCATAGTCAAATTTCGTTAAGGCAGAACGGCAGAAGAAAATGTGTTTGTTGTGGTGAGAACATTTTTGCATTGACTCCTATAGACAGGTGACAGGGAACTGAGAATATTTTGTTGTACCAGAAATTTCGTTGAAGCAGCATTAGATATACGGGGTTTGACTGTAGTAGCAGTCACATTAAGCGTGTGGAAGAGAAAGCAATGCACATCCAGGTTGCATTGCGTGCACAAAGTATTTGATTTTATTACGTGTGAGCGCATGGACATGCAAATCTCCAACCAGTTCTTATGGCGTATTGAGCTGGTTATTTCAGGGCACCCCAGAAGGTTTTTGAAGACTGAAAAGAACTCTTAGTGGGATCAAATACAATAATAAATCCCAATTAAATGCTCTTTCTAACACTTATTTTCATGTTATAACTTCCAAGCTGACAAAATATTTTAACAGCGCTATCAGAGTGCCTTGAAATAGCCAGGTCTACATCCTAATAATATGAAAATAAACATAATACTTTCTAAGATGTGATGGCTATGGCCTTGAAAATTCTGCAACAAATTTTACTCACTTAGTGTATTCCTTCTTTCTCCCCTATTTTAGTCTATACTCAGCTGCATAACTACTGAATAGTTGCATCTACGGGTGGCCTTACAATACTGGCCAGCATAAACACAGAAAAGAATAACTTGATTGTGAGCAAACAGCTAAATTTTAAGGCCACATTTGATAAAAAAAGATAATGTTAAAATAAAGCAGCTTGGTATTAATATGTTGCATTTAACTTTAAAAGCTATGTGTGGGCAATGACAGATGCCTCGATGATGAGCTCCAGATCAGCCATTTCAAAGTTGTCCAACGTTCAGAAACACTAGAGCAGGACGAACCAAGTGGGAGGAGAATGTATTTTCTAGCACACTTTGGAGGCATCAAGAAGCCCATGCTAGATTATGATGCTGAATGGGCACAAATTCAGCACTGCCTTCTTTAAAGAGTTAAGGTATGAGACCTAGTGTTGGAAAATTTTTTTTTAGAAATAAATAACCATGACAGGCTATTAGCCTACAATATAAAACACACGTTTTTAGACACACATGATAATTTCAAGGCAAGCCCTATTTTTTGTAAACTTTGGAAGGTTAAAGATGTAATTAAAAGTGGGCCTTACACCAACACTGCTATATCAAGTTACACTAATTAAAAAAGATCAATTTTTTATACCCACATGAAAAAACTTGAGTCTGTGCAATGAACCAAAACAAATGGGATCTGATGAATATTAAAAAAACATAGTCAATAAATAACCAAAGAGTATGCACTAGCACCTTCGTATAACTGGAAGCCATACTAAATCTCGGGCACGATTTTGCTTACAGAGGTTTAGTGCACACCTAACGTAATAGTACAGAAGTGTGCCAAGTGTTAATGAAATAATGAAAAATGTTTATTACCAAACGAGTTATGACTGTGTACGAAAAAATACCAGAAATAAAAGTTCTGAGAAAATCAACAAAAAGATGTGAAATAGGTGCAGTGCTTACACAAAGTGATCACAAGCACTAAAATTCTCAATATTTATAGCTAGTTCCCTAGTGGACCTTACTACTGCGTGCCTCTGCTTGAAGGCAACTCTCAAGTTGATTTTCTATCTTGTATTGCAGCATCAGTGCCATGCAAGACGCTTTCGCATTGTGGTGCTGATCCTTTGTGAGGTTTTGCAGTTTAGAGGCCTGGATCAATACAAATTTGCTTTAAAATATTAAATGTGCTTCTGTTGCCATTATTCAAATGACACACAGTAGCAAACAAAGAAAATTTGATGGTTTACAGGCTCACATGCCTCTTCATGCACTTTTAGTTTTGAGTTGCACGGTTCATGAATGGTCTCACATTCTTGCTTGTATTTTTTGAAAAAAATCTCTGTGGACAAACTTTGTGCAGTGAAATGATGGGCAATGAATTCCGCAATTAACCTGACCAACTACACTTTGAAAAAAAAAAAAAATGCTTTTTCCGCTTGGCAAGGGCTCATTTTTCTTTGTTAGACACATCTAACAGACTTGATTTATAAACAGATCTATGGGGTTTAACGTCCCAAAACCACCATATGATTATGACAGACGCCTTAGTGGAGGACTCCGGATATTTCGACCACCTGGGGTTCTTTAACGTGCACCCAAATCTAAGCACATGGGCCTACAGCATTTTCGCCTCCATTGAAAACGCAGATGCCGCCGCCGGGATTCGATCCCACGATCTGCGGGCCAACAGCCGAGTACCTTAGCCACTAGACCACTGAAGCGGGGCTTAAATCTAAAAGACAATCATGTCAAGGAAAGTATAGGGAATGTTATTAGAAGTATTTGGAATGTAATCGTGAAGAAACGGTATATTTAACTGGAGGAATGCCAATAGAAAAAATGCTGTTTTAGCTGCCTAGTTTGAACATGTTCTTTGAATACTGTTATAAGGTTTGAGATGTGTTTAGAATGTACCCTTTGTTGATTATTAACAGCATTCAACTAAACGTCAAAGTTCACAAGATCATGGCAGGTTATGGGGATACTTCACAGCAGTGTTACCACAGACTTTATGTTTCCAATTTTCTCTGACCTATTAAAACTCATCAAGTGAAAAGCTACCCGAGTATAGTTAGAGCACAATTAATTAATCCAGCTTCACTTTGCATATGTTTCCCGTGGCAGGTTAACGTGTGGTACTCGTACTATCCGAAATCGACATTACAATTTTTAATTCAAGTGATGAATGCATCAGGTAATCAACTTAGGGAGGCACAACTATGCTTTTACAAAATGATGAAAACTGTTCAAAATAAAATTACATGGGGAGCAGTTATATGACAATGTGAAGAGAGAACACAGACCTGCATAAATTTTACTCATGCATGATCAATGCTAAACATTATTAGGAATGACAGTATTATCAATGAAACAATATGAATGACCTATAACAATGTGGAACATGTATTTGCCATAAGTAATAGCTAGACTTGTGCCAATAATAAATTTAAGATTGATTGATTGATTGATTGATATGTAGGGTTTAACGTCCCAAAACCACCACATGATTATGAGAGACGCCGTAGTGGAGGGCTCTGGAAATTTAGACCACCTGGGGTTCTTTAACGTGCACCCAAATCATAGTAAATTTAAGAATCGAAGCAAATACTGATGTGGTCGAATAAGTTAGAATCAAATTTATATAGTATAAAACATAAATTTAAAAACTAATCATATCTGTTATGACCAAACTAACGTGCACAATTTTTTTTTATTGAAACAAGGGGCATGTAAATGTCATTATCTTCGGTTCAAAGAAAGTGGAAGCAACTTTAAATTTTGAAATACGACTGTGCGAGAGTGCGGATTTCCCCTGGACAAGTGTGTTCACAGAAGGTTACCCCTTTATTGCAGTGAAGCCACCTTTACATAGGGTTCTATGCGGATTAATATATTTTTATTTGTTCAATTCGAATACTGTAATATTTGTTTCAATATTCGAAGTGCTTGAATATTTACACAAGCCTACTAATAACATGGCTCGCTAAGGTGTTACTTCAAGCTTGAGTAGCTCAATAACAATTTAAAATAAAGCGGTGGTGCAAACAGGTAATTAACAGAATAAGATTACTTTCCTAGATAGCAACACATAGCTAACTTACACATTCTTGGCTATAAGATCTGGGTCAATCGATTTCCAACTAGGCGGCAGCCATTGGGCAGGTAACACTTGCTGTAAGGATAAAAATAAAAGAGAGCAACAATTCAGTGAATGTCATCTCCAGCTCGTATTAGCATATTGACAAGATCACTGGATTTAAACATACTGTTTGTTCCAGACTAGAATCAATGATGACGAACCTTGATTTTAACACATGCTTAATAGGAAAGACAACATAATGCTTTGTTGAAGGACAAAACTTCACTGCAAATGTGCCCGTAAACTTTGCCAAACAAATAATTCTATGTACACTATAGACCGCTTTTAACGTAAGTCGCGGGAGTAGCGAATATCCGCACTATAACCAAACCAACCTTTTACAAGGGCTGCACTTGCGCGAAACATGTTGAGCGTGCAGCTTCGCGAGTCAGAGAATCGAAATATGCGATGCAAGCTTGCCAACATTTAAATTTCTGAATGCTGATAGACTATAATGTCCAAAGACACGCGTTGCCAATTAAATGAACGCGAAAGGGGGGGGGGGGGGGGGGAGTGTCTAACAAATGAAAGCACCATCGCAGAAATTCGCTGACTACCAGACAGCCTCGATTATGTGCATTACATAGAAACTATGTCAAATCACGTCCAGAATTTGACACGTTGAAAGACGCCAACCATTCGATTTCACGAGCGCGAACCCGATGGCATCGCAATCGAATCACGAATCACTGTTTGAGTGCTACACGTGCCGCACTCTTTTTCATTAACGACATGTATCCCTTCCCATCAACTGTGGCCACCGCAAAAAGTTTCGTTGATTCGGTACCGAACCACAACTTAGATTCACGCGACCGCTACCGATCGAAGCGCAACCAATGCCGATTAGGCCTAGCTTGCCGTTTGGTATGTTGTCGCGGAAAGTTTGTCCAAAACATGAAGATTCGGCATCGAAAAGATCGCTCTAGCAGTGAACCAAGAACAGCGTGCGTGATACGAAGTTTGCGTTCACAGCCGGAAGATCAGCAAAGATGACAACTCGCCAAGCTAGCTTACGTACGACAGCTCACTGGCAGCAAAAATGTCAGGCAGCGTCATAAAACCGTAAAAGGTTTTCAATTTACAGACGAGAAAGCAAACATGACAATAGAGGTTTTTAGCAAGTTACGGAGACACGTCACCGAAAGGCAGCAACACTGACCTGGCTGACGAGTGCACATGCGCGACCATTGTATGCCAATACGAAAAGGAACTGGGTCGTATTTCCGTAACCTGTTTCCGTAGCTTGCTAAAAACATGTATTTGGACGGGATAGCAAGTGCCACGTTGAGCGGCGGCGGCCGAAGCCACGCTAGGGACATAGTACGCTGTAGCCGCGTCGGCACCGGCGCAAAGGCTTATCGGTCACCAAGGCAACCGTCCTCTTCCCTTACTCGGCGAGCCCGCGCAGTGCCCCACTGTCTTTTTTCATTTTCATTTTTCATTTCATTTTCTTTTTTTCTTCTTCCCTTTGCCCATCGTTCGTTCATGCCGTGTCCCCTCCTTCTCCGTAACGACCTCGTCGTTCGCTCGCCAGCGGCGCACCCAGCGCGTCTCCTTATGGAAGCGCACTCGCTACCGTGTTTGTCACAATTTCCGGCAACCGCATTATAACCGGTCTTTCATCTTGAGGGACTGCACAAAAAGCGGTACGCGTATACATGGTGTTCTATGGGAGGGTAAACGGGAGTAGAAAAAGACCGCATTGTAAGTGGTTCTGCACTAAAAGCGGTTATGTTATAAGTGGTCTACACTGTATTCATAATGTAGCACGTGTGCCATCATTGTCATTACCGCAACATTTTAAGCAAGTACCCAATCTCTCACTTCACAACCTGATCATGCACTTTGTGAAGACAACACTGGCCTGCCAGAATCATATCCAATCCTGTATAGCAGCCAGATTTTTAAACACTTGCAGCACTTGAAATTTATTGTCATTTTCTTTGCCCCTTTGCCACTGAATGATCGTGCACTGATCTTGATGCACAACACCTATGACGTTTTTAGAGTTAACGTGAGCACAAGCACGGCCTTAAACATCTGTATTTACAATTCAAAGATGGTACCTTCGACGTACAGTAGACTCTCAGTAAACGGAACTGCTGCTCTGATATGATTGATTTCATCCCTGCATACTGCGCCTGTTTATCTCTCAGTAAACAGAACTCCTGTTGAACGAAAAACATTTTTCTGGCCCTTTCAGATTCTACTTAACGAGAGTCTACTGTACGTTAGATTATGGTCAATGCAGTTAGAAAAACTAAGCTCTTTGGAAGATCTGACCAGCGACCAGAGCTGCGTCGGCATGAGCTCATAATGAGAGACACTTCCATGTCCCCACTTCCCACAGTCTGATGGCACTGCTTTACACATGCGTACTGTACATGTTTAAGTAGTTATTGCAATTATTGCAAGTCGAAAACAGCATAAAATTGCACACAGTGACTGTGGATAACGTCATTCTCAACTCTACAAAAAAATGCGAACGTTCAGTTATACAGCGAACTCTCACTTGTACGATGTTGGTTTAACAAAGATTTCAAAGTAACAAACTTCTAGAAAGTCAATGGCTGCTTTCCTATGCATTCTATGCAAAAATTTTCAGTGAAACGAATTTGATCCGCAGAAGCAGACACATTTTTGAAATATTTTCAACAAAGTTTAGTGCTCTGCAGCTCCTGGACTAGGCGATGCACACTGCCTCTAAAACAGCCATCCATCGGCGTTAGTGCAACATCACTCGTGCGCGTCATTCCCCCCCCCCCCCTCCCTGTTATTATTTTTTTTGTCTCATTGGTATTCTTCTGCCATATTCGTTTCAGGCTAACAGCACAGTTGGTGCACTTTCATTTATACGAGTTCAAAGAAACAGGCAACCACTTCTGTTCAACTTTCCAATATGTTTTTTTCCCTATAAGAATATATTACGAAGTTTCGGGACATTTCACAGTGACAAGCTGTGCTAGAGGCAGCGTGCAAAAAATACTCTCTGGACAGCTTAGTCTCTTCTTTGGCTTTAAGGGCATCAGATCAAGCGAATAGTACATAATAAATTGCATTTCACGCCTTTGACTCAATATCTGCTCTGTGCGATGCGGTTCTATAATCAAGTGAATATTCAGTCCATTGAACTATTTTTTAGTTCCGTTGAAGTTCGCCCAATTGAGAGCTCACTGTAGTACGAGAGAAAAATCGAGGGGCAGTGTGCAACTCGAGTAGTGCCTACATAACCTAAGAATAATTTTTTTAGAAATATTCACTTGCTTGATTGCATCCCTGTTTTTTTGCATATAATTAAAAAAAAGGTGTGATCATTATGTGAGTAGATACGGTTGTTGAAAGCAGTGTTTTAGCGTAGAACTGCACTGCATCATGATCAAGTGGTAGATGACCCCTAAGGAAGTCCATATGCACTCCGCGTTTTTGTTCCTGGTGAAAACTTCATCGCGGAGTTTTTTAAAATTTTGGTGTTGTTTCATGATAACAGCTCACGCCACTTTGTGGATAATTTCAACTAGCTCAGTAGGGAGCTTGCTCGACATTTTGCTGCATGATGCCTTCGTAAAATTACGCCGCCTCCCTACCAACGTTTTTACTGTCTCCTTAATGTTACTGTAGTGGTGTTATTGTATGCGGATTGAAAAAGCTGTACAAAATTTTAGGAACTTCGCAAAAATTTTAAGGCAATTGGTCAGATGGATATGTAACTGCTGCTGTATAAAATAAGTTCCAAGCCAGTTCCTGAAGTCTGCCAACTTTTTCCTTGTATTGCAGAACTTGGCACTACTTTACAATGGGAGCATGCATTCCTGAAGGGGCAGAGGGTATTTTGATAGTATAGAGAGTGTTCCTTAAAGGGACACTAAAGACAAATAATTTACATCAGAGTAAAAGCTCAATGTATGACAAGATCTAAAATGGCAATATTAACAGCAGTGCCTTGCTTATAAAGAAATTAAGTTAAATGTATCACACGACATCCGCCATAGGTGGGACATTCACGAAATAATCCTGATTAGAGTGGTGGGAATGCTTTCCAGTATTTTGGAGCAGCCATCAGGAAAAATCTCCTTTTGGAGCAGTTACCTCTGTGTTTGGAGCATGCACGGGCTTTTCATGACAACCACACTAGAAGAAAATTTAGCTTTAATTTAGTTTAACGTTCTCTCAGCTTACATAATCATTTATACAGAAGCAGCAAGCCCAAAAAATAACCACGAAAAATTAACAAAAGCAGGATCCTATACAAAAGCGGTGAAATAAAACAGTGAAAGGATATTGCACCAACAAGCTAGCCGCAGCATGAATTTATAGCAGTGCGCGAGCACACTCACTCGCGTAGGCATGCGCACAGCACACCTGCCAAGTTCAAAGATTGTGAATCCAGGAGATTCCCGCAAGGGGGGAGTGGGTGATGCGCTGAATTATTTTTCCTAATTTCTGTTGGTCCCCCCCCAAAAAAGCAAAAAAAAAAAACACACAAAAACCAGAGACAAAAGGGGGAGAGGGAGTGCTAATCGCAAGCACCACCATCGTCGATGCGGTCTTATAATGGCTTGGAGTGGCCGAACGCATGAGCTAAGTTTCCCACTAAGGTGAAAGTCTCAAAGGGGGAGCGCGAATACCGTATTTACTCGTGTAATGAACCCACCTTTTTTTTTTTTTTCAGAAAAGCTGACGCTAACTTAACTTGGGGGGAGGGTTCATTAAGCGGGAGAAAAAAGTCATCAGTTATAACAGTGAAAATGTTGCGCGAAGGCTTTGCTTGTTTTTGCCCGTAAAAAGCGCAACCAAAGCTTTTTTTGTTTCCTCCTGTAACGAAAGCGCACCGATCACGCCAAAGTGTTGTCCAGCCGCTCTGTTTCAATGCTCCAGCGCATGCTGTTTGTAACCAGCCATGTAGCTAGTGTACCAACCGAAGGCACCCAGCGCAAAAGGTGTCCCAACTAAGTTCACAATGACAAACCCGACAACAAAAATGCAGCGTCGGATGGCGGTGCACAAATGTTGCGGTTCACGTTGCAGGTGCACAA